TTTGATCTTGTGAAAAGATACTGAGTTTTGTACGCAAGAGACAGGAAACACGATCCGTATTACTCAATCTACTTAGCTGTGAGAAATTCAAAACTTTTTCTGAAATCCCTTTAATTTTCCTTGGCAGTAAAGGAAATTTGAAAAAATGATTGAATGAGGCCCTTATATTTGCAAAATCATAGTCGCTCGATATAAAATCTCACATCGGTTGGAGAGGAGAACAAAACATATGATTATAAGGGTGTGGAAACCTCTCTCTGCCATACGCGTTTTAAAATTGTGAGGCTGACGATGATACGTAATGGGCTAAAGTGGACAATACCTACTAGAAGTAGGTTTGACATGTTACAAATGGTATCAGAGCCAAAAATTACATAGTGTGCCAGAGAGGACGTTAGCCCCAAAGGGGGTGAATTATGAGACCCCACATCGATTGGAGAGGGGAACAAAACATTCCTTAGAATGGTGTGGAAACTTTTTCCCTAGTAAACACATTTTAAAAACTGTGAGGTTGACGGTGATATGTAACGGGTCAATCTGTTACAAATGGTTTCATAGCCAAACACTAGACGATGTACGACACTGGCCCCCAAGAGAGTGGATTGTGAGATACTACATCGGTTAGAGGGGAGAATGAAACATTGCATATAAGGATGTGGAAATCTCTCTCGTAAACACAAGAAAGTGGATTGTGAGATACTACATCGCTTAGAGGGGAGAACGAAACATTGCATATAAGGATACACAAGAGAGTGGATTGTGAGATACTACATCGCTTAGAGGGGAGAACGAAACATTACATATAAGGATGTGGAAATCTCTCTCGTTTTCATATATACAACTGCACAACACTGTCAACCATATTCTAGCAGACTCATACGATAATTTCTGGTACACCTCTCATTTAAAAATTTGTAATTTAATTGAAATATTTTGATTCTTAAAATAGTGGTAACTGAAGGAAGCAAAACTACATTTTTCTAATTGTAATGAATGTGTTCTCAGTTTGAAAACGTTGAAACTTGATTTTAAAAACAAACAACCGGACCAATACGTGCACGTCGAAGTTGAATTAAAATAAAGAGTGGATCATAATTGAAGGCAATGTGAAAGGAACAACCAACCCATTTGACTGGAATTTGAAGGCGTTGAATAACGCAATTTCCACCACCATTTCAAGCCCAAATGTTGAACTTCCAACACCCATTTCCAGAACATAGGTAAAAAGTCTTCATTGACCTGAAAGCTAAGCTTTGTTTAAACCCATTCTGTAAGTGGCTTTGGTTCCACCATTGAATTCTCTTAAAAAAGGTGTAACTTGGAAGCTCAGAAAGCAGCAAGGGAACAGCAGAGAGAGAGGAGAAGAGAGATGGAGGAGTGGTGTGTGGGTTTTAATGACAGAGAAGTGAGTATATGCTTCGTTGTATTCAAGCCATTGGTATTTGTTGTGGATCATTTCGTTGAAGCTCTCAAACAATTCTCCTTCTCCACCACAAATCTTGGTTGCATTCAGAGTTCTGTCCTCAAGAGCATCCATGGAAACATGGTCTTTTACTTTCCCTTTCTTTTATTGTTTTCGTTTTCCTCCTTACACTTTGAATCGGATATTGTTCTTTTTGGATTTTACCTTTCGACCTTTCCTTTCCGGTTTTAAAACACATCCGCTAGAAAGAAGTCTCCACTCCTAAAAAGAAAGTTTTATTCCTCTTTCTGGTCGATGGGAGATTACACAATCCACTCCCTTCATGGCCAACGTGGTGCTAGCTCCCCTCTCCAATTGATGTGGGTGTGTCACTAGAAAGGGGAACGAAACATTCTTTTTAAGTGCGTAAAAACCATTTTCTAACTAACTAGTTTTAAAACCTTTCGGGAAAAAAAATCTAAAAAAGACAATATCTACTATCAGTGGACTTGTCCTGCTCCATTATTATTGATTTTCTTTTAGATTTAGATCAGTTTTTGCTTTCTATTTCTCGTTGAGCATGAGAAATTTGAACTTCTAATCTCTCACTGGATAAATATATATATAAAAGCTAGCAAACGAGATCAATTGAGATGAATAATCAAAGATCTTGCTACGTGTACATATAAAAATATCAATCCAATTTAGCTCGAAACTAGTTGTCTAAATTTATATCTTTAAAAAATAACAGTTGATTGTACATATTTCAGATCATATGGTGTGGAATTTGGGCAAAAAGATCAATTGAAAACACAGAATTATTATCAGAAGCAATCGTAAGTTGCAATACACATGTTTTCATTCATGGGTTTGTTCTTATTTCAGCTATTAATCAGTATTCATGTTCTTCAGCTCAAGAACTTGACAAAAGTATCAGACATGGCAACCATAATTGATATCAGCTTCTTCGAAGCCTATGGGGGAGACTCCATGGATGGGTCCTGCGTTGCAAAGTTCTCAAGAAACAGAGTAATATCAATGATTTCAGTGGCTGCAAAGTCCGGCGGCGACATGAACGATCTGTCCTACGCTTGCTTGGCGATATTCAAGTCCAGATTTCAGAAGATTGAAGGAGTGATATCTGGGGTTTGCTTGAAATCACAGAATAGGTCCACTGTTATGTCACTTTATGTCTGGAATTCGCCCTTTTATTGTTACTCATGGATCTTGAACTCCGATCATTTGAACTCCATGATGCCTTATCTCGATCGTTTTTCTCTTTGTATTAAATATGATGTGTTTCAAGTGGTGAATGTAATGGATGCAAATGTGGCTGATTTTCTTGATTTGGGTCATCATGAAGAGGGGAAAAGAGCAAACGTTGCGGTGCAATAGTAGGTTTTTTTGTGGTCGGTGTTCGTTGTACATAGGTTAATGGTACGATATTGTCCAATTTGAGTATAAACTCTCATGGTTTTGCTTTTGGTTTGGGGTTGTTAGAAACCACGACCTGCAGAATGGTATGATATTGTCCACTTTTGATTCTAAGTTATTGTGGTTTATTCAAAAGATCTCTTATTAGTGGAGATAGTGTTCCTTACTTGTAAACTCGTGATTTTCATCGTAATTTGTCAATGTAGGACTACTCTTTTCAATAATTCTCGACGTGGGTAGCTTGGATTCATGGTTGAATGGCATTTGAGAGTGTGAAAAGGGTGTGGTAGGTTAGGAGAGAACAATTATGAAGCAAACCCCACAAGCCTTTTCTTTTTGGAGATGGTGCCCTACATTGTCACCATTCCATTCATGTTTTTTTCCTTTTAATGGGGAAAAAAGCGTCACTTTTGCTCAGCATGCATCCAAATTACACAACCTTTTATACACAATTTGGCCATCCCAAGTCCCACCATGTGCCTCTCTTTTGCTTCACTCACACTCGTTTCTCTCTCCAATCGATGTGGGATGTCATAATCCACCCCCCTTTAAGGACCCAACATTCTCGCTTGCACACCGCCTGATGTCCGGCTCTGATACCATTTGTAAGAGTTCAAGCTCACCACAAGTAGATATTGTTCTCTATGGTCTTTCCCTTAAGGTTTTTAACACGCATGCTAGAAAGAGTGTTTTGTTCTCCTCTCGAACCGATGAGGGATCTCATGCTTTTTACTTTAAAGAAAGAATTTCTAACATTAAAGTAAGATGAAACATAACTAGAAAGTTCTCAATATGGATGCTATCTCTTTCAACCAACATGTTTATGAACTGCAGTAGTAGCTTTCAACTTAAAACCACTGCTGAGACAAAGTGCAGAGGCTGTCTGGGAATCAGGAATTTACAAAAGCATCAGACCAAGAGATTAAGAAACAGTGTGGGCCTGGGACCTATCTTTAAGCTTATCAACAAAACTGCATTTAAAACAATGCTCGCTCTCAGGGAAAGGGACCATGGTGATGGAATCTAAGAGGTAAATTTTATTTGGATTTCAACCTTCACTTTCATTTTGATGCAGACATCTCCTTTCAATGCCCTTTTACCACTATGCATAAAGTACCGTTACTTTTGTTTGATTCCTCTCCTCCTCGTTGCCTCGTTTCCTCATTGTCCTTTTGAGTTTTCCGTTTCGAGCTTCTCCTCAAAGTTTTAAAACGTGTTTACTAGGAAGAGGTCTCCACACCCTTGTAAAGAATACTTTGTTCCCCTCTCCAACCAATGTAAGATCTCATAGGGGAGCCCAGTGTCACGGTCATGCTCGTTCAAGGCGTGTTGCCCATGGCCGCATGCCCATGACAAGCCCAACCCTTTATGTCTTTTCATATTCTAGTGTTTTACTTTTGTATTTCTAAGAAGTATGACGTTTCAGAAATATCATGTCTAGGCCTGTCAGACATAAAATGTCTCAAAATGTACTATAGGAGGTTATGACTAGTTGTCAACTTCTCCCTACCCAAAATTATATACTGTGAGCCGTTGTTATTTCTCTCTTGCTTGCTTATATAACGTCTCTTTCAAAAATCTCTCTCTGCTCTCGTTTTCTAAAACCTTCTCTTAAAACTGAGGCCAAAGGCTCGAGCATACGTTGTTTGGCCGTAGGCGAGGCAAGAACGAATTGGTTTAGCTCACTTGTCGTTGGAAAGTGAATGCCGCACAATCACAAGTCCGCTACCATCAAAAGTGCGATTGTGACATCCAGCATCCTCGCTGGCACACCGCCCAGTGTCCACCCCCTTCAAGACTCAGTGTCCTCACTGGCACACCGTCCGATGTCTGGCTCTGATATCATTTGTAACAGCTCAAGCTCACCGCTGACAAATATTGTCCTCTTAGGGCTTTCCCTCGAGGTTTTTAAAACGCATCCGCTAGGGAAGTTTCTACACCCTTATAAATGCTTCTTTCCCCCACCGACATGGGATCTCACGATCTCATTTATGCATCACTTGTGCACTTCTTTCTCCTCTCCAATCGACGTGGGATCTCACAATCTCACTTATGCATCACTTATGCATACCCATGCATACACTTTCATTTGGATTTCAACAAATCTTGAAGCTCAAAAAGCCACAAGTGATGGTTCAACTGATAGCATTCCTTTAGTGAAGAGTTTCTCAAAACAACATGAAATATGAAATCTCTTACTTATACAATTTGAGTCATTACAAACGAAACTCAAGTCTTGTTGGAATGAAATATGGATGTCCTAATACTAGTGTATAGTCAATATAAGATAGTACAGAACAGAAAAACGAAAATGTATAATTACAGTACTAGCTCATAAGCATCAAACTAGATTTCTGTAGCTTTTTCCACAACCTCATATGAAGAATAATTTAAAGAAACTGCTAAAATTAAAGGAGAGAGATTGTAACCAGGTAAGTCATTCAGTAGTCGAGAGGCCCGACAGAGGTTATCCCTGAAACTAAATTTCTCGAGTCCTGTCGGCTACCGTAGTCGTCACAGGTACTGTTTGAGAGCCTCTGAATTGGCACAGAGTTCAGAAGTTCTAAACCTCGTTTGCCCATTTCATGAACTTCTTCTGGTGAAAGTATTTTGATACACCACACACTGCTTACAAACTCCCTGATATGCATAAAAGAATTCATGGTTCATACAGATGCCCCACATTACTGACTAAAAGTAACAACAAATAAACCAAATACTAATGATGGAAGTTATGGAGAAGGGGCAAGCAACACTTACGGCCACGGGCCATCACCAAGGAGAAGAACGTCATTCTCCCGGTCAACGAATACAAGCTGCCAGCCTGATCTCAAAGGATCCTCCAACTCGCCTTCTAGGCCAAACATGCAAGCAAGCTCGCTGCGTAGCTCAGGATAGCTGTTGAATTTGGTTATATCTAACGACCTACTGTAGGTCCCTGACTTGTGAACCTGTACAAAAAATGTGTGGCCAGATGGATTCAGCATATACTAACAAGGCCACATTATAGTACCATGTAAACAAGTATGTAAACTAATGTTGTATCACCTTGACAAAGGTTCCATTGGGTGGATGGTTTACTTGGCCCACATTTTCATGAGACTGCAGGAAACCCGACTCGTCGATGCAATTTGAGGATGTCATGGTTGGATTCACAGAAAAATCGGTACCAGCAGTGCTCATATAATTGGAAGAAAAAGGTAGAGTTGTAGAAACACTGTCATTGCCGACTCCCCTAAGGTGTGACGCCCCATTCTGCATTAAAAGGGATGAAGACTCTATATTCACACCAAATAAAACATGGTTTTGTGGATCGGAACCGTCGTCTCGGTCATCGTTAGAACACTCCCTTCCAGGGAAGGGTGGCAATGCCACAGTATTCTGAGGAATACTACTCTGTGATGTTCCCAAAATTTCCCCTTGAGGCAGAAAATATTGAGAAGCTCCAGTAGTGAGAGGGTCAATAGCAGCTCTCTTTGCTGGCCAACCAGCTGAAGGAATTATTGAATTTGCTCTTTGAAGGTTAAGCAGCTGAGACGATTCGTCTTGAACAGATGACGACCCCGCAAGGCTATGCAATGGGGAAACAGTAGTAGTTACAGGGTTACAATTGGAGTCGGAAAAACTCGGTTGTTGGCAAAGGGAAGGGATGGTTTGCAGGGACGGCAACTGGGATTGAGAACATGAAGCAAACTGAGATATAGCCGCCGGTATCGTACAAGGAATCTGCTGATGATCGAGTTGCGGTGGCTGTGGCTGCCTTGGTTGCTGTTGTTGATTATTGAATTGCTGGGGCTGCAATTGTGGCTGAAGATGATGCTGCTGGTTTTCTTGAATGGATTGTAGAAACGCCTGCTGGGGTTGAGACTGATGCATCATCTGAGGCTGCATTAAGGAAGAAGACTGACAAGGAAGGCCTTGGGACTGCTGGAATTGCAGAACAGATGCAGGTGCTATTTTCGAATAATCGATTGCCCTCATCTCCTGAAGAGCTGCAGTAGCCATGGCTTGGTACATGTCAGGTTGCATTGCCATCATGGATGTATCAAGCCTTGGCTGCATCCACGGTGAGACCCCGTTTCCCTGAAAATTTAGACAATTATCTCCCCGTAGCCACATGAACGGAGAATTCATTCCGAGGTCGCTATCCTTGATGCCTAAGAGAGAAACATATAGAGGAGTTAACATGAGTATGAATTTCATTGTCTATATCAAAACACCAGGAAGAACAGAAAGTAAAATGCAGTCATGTTGACACATTGTTGATGCTGGAGTGATGGTGCTAACTTACCGAAAGAAGGCAGTCCCGTTGGCCATGGTCGCTTCAGCCGAAGTGGAAATGGAGATGGATACATTGGAAATGTTGTCAGTGGTTCAATTTCCCACAAGGACACTCTTGGCTGCCGCTCTCCTGCTGTTGATTCGTCCCAGCCAACCTGCATCGGTCAGCTTATTAAAGGGAAGTTCGTGATTTATAGAACGAAAACTTGAAAACTGGTTGAGACCACATCAGATCGAAACTGTGCTTCCTAACCTTGACCGAGCGCCAATGTGAGTTTTGCCATCTTACAGGATCCAAGTCACTAATGCCAGTGATTGTGCCCATGTAGCTGTATACACCGAAGAAATATTACGAAAATATGAATACACATCGAATCCCAGTTATCAAAACGTCGGTACTCAACTAAAGAAGCTGAAAGCAAACTGCAGCGAAACTAAAATGCAGCTAGAAAGATACACATAGAGGATATAGATCTAACATTCCGAACCTACCGACGAACACTTGATTCTTCCGTTTCAAACAGCATCCTAAAGCGCATACCAACAGAAACACGAGTATGGTAGACAGCCTTCACGTATTTAGTGAGTGGTATGACAAACTCTGAAGGACTAGCTCTGATAAGAAATCCAACTTATAGTGTAAGAACATGTAGACTAAAAGATCAAAAATTCGTATTCAAAGAAACTTCAGACCTTGGGTTAAAAAATATGGTAAATCGACTGTTGGTAGCAGCTGCATGAGCTGCTGCAGCAAGAAGCCCCAAATGCATACTATCACTTGACAAAACAGATGAAGGCATCACGGTTTGCGGTCGACTTGCACGCCTGATTCCGAGGAGTAATTGGTTCTTCTCATTCCTGAAGAAAATAAGGTCAGCATTGCATAGATAATGATTTTATAGCAGATAGCATAAGAAAGCTTTGGTTGATTGACATTAAATGATTAGCAAGAATTGTAACCGCACAAGCTCAATGCATGTAGATATTGTCCTCTTTAGGCTTTTCTGTCTGAGCTTCCCCTCAAGGTTTTAAAACACGTCTGCTAGAGAGAGGTTTCACACCCTTATAGGGAATGTTTCGTTCCTCTCCAACTCATGTGAGATCTCACAACCCACCCCCTTAGGGGCCAGCGTCCTCGCTGGCACATCGCCTGGTGTCTGGCTCTTATACTATTTGTAACGGCCCAAGCCCACCATTAGCAAATATTGTCCTTTTTGAGCTTTCTCTTTCGGGCTTATATACTAACAATCCGTTCATCCTCTTAATCAGCAAAGCTACGACACCGTTCGGTGTCTGGCTTTGATACCATTTGTAACAGTCCAAGCCCACCACTATCAGATATCATTCTTCTTGGACTTTCCCTTTCGGGCTTCCCGTCAAGGTTTTAAAACGCGTGTTCTAGGAAAAGAGTTTCACACTCTTATAAGGAATGTTTTGTTCCCCTCTTCAACTGACATGGGATCTCGCAATAATGCAATTGGATCACAAACAATGAACCAAGAAGAAATGTACATGATCAATGATCTCACCACACTCCAACCAAAAGTTTAAGCAATCATGCCATAAAAAACGAAGAGAAAGAACTAAAAAAATGAGTTAACACTGCATGCATACCAGATAAAAAGAACAGCATCACCAGCAACAAGTCTTTTAGCACTCACGAACACACTCCATCCAGTTGTTAGAAGGTGTCTTTTAGGCTGGCCTGCAACAAACATATCAAGAACGTCGAGGCAATTAAAACATGGAAGCCAGCTCTCCATTTCTCCAAGCCCAACTTCATATATATTAAAAGCAAAGAAGAAATGAATACCCACCACGAAATATATGTCTAAATTTCCATTCATTATCATGCAAGTCCCTCGCTATCAGCTCTTGAGCTGGGGGCTGCATGGAGAAGTCCTGCATTGCACCAATATCATCAGAAGAAATCATGAACTATCATTTGCAATGACCACTGCAAGACTTTTAAAGTGTCCTTACCAAAGGGGGGAATACTTTTTCAGCAGCACGACGAGGAACAGAAAAACCGCCATGTGTGCTCGTATCACTAGCTGTCAAAGTTTTGCAAAAGTAATTCGTTGGCTGCCTACTTGGAGACCCCAACTCAGCTGGAAGGTAGGCTTCTTTCAATTCTTGCTGCATAACAAAGTAATAATTCATACTAAAAATCAAAACTGTGAGGCCAAGTAATCATCAAATGCCAGAAATGAGAAAGTGTCCTACAGCACTCAAGGGTTGCAGAGTCATCTGTGCATATACTTCATCTGTCTCAGCATCTGCCTGAAGTTCAAACGCTCATAAGTTAAAATGAAGCATGGCCTATAATAACCAGACCCAGAAGAACCAAACTATCAAGCCTTACATGCATTGTGAGGTTATGAAGCTGACAGATGAGTTGTGGCGGTAAACTCGGGTAATTCGGGATCTGGGCATCGACCTCTTTGTTGGTAGATGCAGCAACCTAGATAGAAAACAAGTGAGTATAAGCTTAAAAGCATTAGAAATGAAGAATTTGTCAATGAACAACAATCAAATGCATAGTCAAGTGTCTTATGTCAAAGCCTAGATGAGATATCATATCAATCTCCAGAAGATAGCAAGCAAAACAGATTGATATCATGGAGGAGTTTGGTTACCTGCTCACTATGACCTTGAGGGAAGTAAACAACGCGAGTGCCAACAGCCGGCAGAGAAACAAGAGGACCCGCGCACGCATGCCAAAGCTCGGAATTCAGGACCCTTCTCTCGCCTGCAAAATTGATGTCAATTTCATAAAAAAGGGCAATGCTTCCAATTGGGAAATCCCATGGCTGGACCACTCAATTGGAGAGAGAGAAGAGAAAAGAGAATGAAAATATTAAACAAGACTCCAAAGGGCAGGAAAATGACATAAATCTAGCATGATGCTGCAAAATCCAAGGTCAAAAAACGAGTATAAAATGAAAGTCTCCGCAGTTGGTCCAAAAAGGAAGAATGAAAACGTTAAGGGTATGAATCGATGAGGAGTTGCAGACAAAATTCAGGGAAAGCAGTTGGAAGTATGCGTACCTTCCGGCGGCTGAGGACTAAAACCAGCCGCAGAGAGCCTCATTCCCGAAGAAACTACTCAATTCAAAGCTTAAATGGAAGAGATAAATAAAGAGCTAATGCGGTTTCCAAGAACACATCCGCAACCCAGAAGACTCAAACTAAAGCGCCATTGCAATTTCAAGCTAAACGAGCTGCAAATTGTACAGTAACAGAAACTTGGTGACCACTCTAGAATCCTCAACCGAAGCCGGTTTCGCAACAGAACAAAGTGGTTTTGGGCCTCATCCGAAGCTTCAAATCAGCGCCAACGCTCCCCCCAAGATTTCACCGATCTTTAATTTACAATTAGAAGAAAAACCCAGCAGATTGAGCTTCACAAAACCCAAGTCCAGGCCCCGAGATTACAGATTCTCAAAGGGTTCTCGAACTGGGATTACTACAGAGTTAAAGATCCAGAAACGCCAAGGAACCACCAGATCTTCAGGGTAAGAACATGAAAGCTTGCGATATTTAGTAGAAGGGGAAAAAACCCAGATCTCAAAGAAGAAGAACACCAAAGAATAGCAACCCTCCCACCCACCATGTTCATTTCTGATATTAACAAGAACCCATAAAGCAGTAGGCGATTAGTGGGTTCTACACAAAGGGGGATGAGGAAATAGTAAGAGAAACGAAAACCCACGAAAACAAAAACAACAAAATATGAAATAACATCAAAGCAAGCTCCTCTGGTCGGGGGTTTCTCAGCTCTGTTCTGGATAATGGAAATAGAAGGCGTAATGGGTTGAATAATGGTGGTGAGAGTACTAAAACAAATGTTTCAGGCTGAGCTACGCTAAGCTAAGCGAAGCTCTCTCCTAGAACCACTGTTGCTTTACCATTCTCCCAAGCTCTCTCTCACTCTGCCTCTGACTCCTCTGTTTTCTGCTCTGCTCCAAATGTTTCCTTTATTTAATTTTTTTTTCTTTTTTTATTTTCCTGCTTTATGGGTCAGGACGCTTTGCTCCAATCAATCAACGCACAACCGCCATTATTTTTTGCTGTCTTTTTCATCTGAGGGAGAAGAAAAAGTAGAAAGGGCACTGTAGAGCGAGCTAGAGAGAGAAAGAGAAAGGGTTTTATTCGGATGAGAGAGAAAGTGTCAGAATTTTAATGGCGAGGACGATGAGAACAAAAGGAAGGCGAGAGAGATAACAAGGATTTCTGAATTCTTTCTGCAATACCCTCCTCTCTTTTTTTTTTATATATATAATTTTATTTTTTAATTAAATTCTCCGTTCATACATGAATAAATCAAAATCTCAGTTAGAAACAGATCTATAGATAAGATGGCTAAGAAAACGTTCAAACGAATTAAAATTTTTTAAAAAAATACATAAACGAGGACAAAATATTCTAAAAGAACTTGTGTTATCTGAGATATCATGAGTCGAATTAAGATTTTTAATCCTGATCAAAATTTTGAATATGAAAGATTACTGTTATCTTATAACTCGTCATCATCGTCTAATAATTATTAATAATTATTAAGTTGGTTTGACTTAGGATGATAGGTCAAACCACTCAAACACATCCATTTACAATATTTATGAATAAATACCATTTTTTTTTTTTAGATTTTAATTTTGTATTAAAAACAAGTTATAATTAAAATAATCTATTATATTTAATATAAATATGAATAATTTATTTTCAAATGGAATATTAAAATTGATATATCTAACTCAAATATTTTGTTGAAATGGGTAGAATATTTAACCATATTAAAATTAGAATTAAAATATTCAAAATAAATGAATTGGACTGGGGAGTGAAGTAAATTACTAAAATAGCCCTCATAATTAAAATAAAAAAAATAAAATAGTAATTAATGTGGATGATATAATTAGGATGGTGTACTATCTACACTATACATAGTAACGAGTAACTACAGTGAGAGCCGTGCTTGCAACTTGCTTCTCCCCTTTGTCCCCACCACTTTTCCACTTTTACCCCTTTATTTTTCTTTAATTTTATTTTAACAAATCGACTCTTTAATTTAAAAAATTAAAAGTTACTTCATATTTCAATTGGGTGTACCTTCATTTTCGGTAGCTTAATCATAAAAGATTTATATTAAATTAAACTCGAGCGTGTTCGTAAGTTAATATTTTTGCAGTTTGATCAACCTGACCAATTTGTTTGTGGGTGTTGAATAGAATCGAGAGTCGTCAACTTGAGAGCAACGTAGTTTAGCGGGTTAAATTATGTGGTTGGACCATAGGTCAAATTTGTGAAATGTAGCGATGTATTTCGGGAGGGCCTATTGAGTTATTATTGCTAAGCGATTGGGTGCGTGTCGTGTCTACCTCATACAAATCTTACTCTATCTATGTTAATAGGGTCAATGGACCATACAATGACATAACATTTTAATAATTAATTCTTATTCAATTTTCTCCCTTCCTCCTTTCATTCCCACCAATCACAAATTTTCTTTATAAATGTGTCATTATTTTGTTACCTAATATTTGGAAATATGTGGAGTGGTATCTTTCTTTTTTTTTTTTTTCTTAAAAAAGAAGAATCTAGTAAAAAATAGAATTAAAAATATATATATATTTATTTAAAATTTAACACTATTTAATTTTTTATTTTGTTATTTTGTGTTATTTACTTTTTTTTAATTGATTATTAATATATTAATATACTGCAAACAACTTCTATTATATTTTTTAAAATAAATTTTTGTTTAATTTCTTTTTTATTTGTAAACTATTATGGAAATAACAATTTAGAACCGAGACTAAATTGTTATTTTGACAAAATTTTAAAAATTAAAAGTATTTTTAATTTTTTTAGTCAACAATAATAAAAATATGTTAAATTAATAAAAAAAAAAATCCTTTAAATTTTGTCCTTTGTCTATAATATATCCCTAAATTTAAAAAAAAATCTAAAAATATCCTTACAGTTACTCTAAAATGAAACTTATAATATTTTGTTTAAAAAATACTTTTTCAAAATAGTTTCATTTGCACCCTCTTAAATTTTCAAAAGTTTTATTAATACTTTTAATTTTTTTAAAATCTTAAAAATAACTCTTTGAACTTTTTAAAAATAAAAAATACTCTTACCATGTCAGGCTTCAAGAATCTCATAAACCTTTTAAAATAATATTAAAATATTTTAAAATAATTGATAAACTGTTAATATTCATAGGTTAACAAAAAATTATCTAAAAATAAAGAGAGTTAACTTAATTTTTAGACATAGTACTAAGAGCATACTTGTGATCAACTTATTTCTGAAATGAAGTAATGATTTTCATCTAAAACTAACTATAAGAGTATTTTTAAAACTTTTTTTTAAAGTTATATGGCTATTATCGAAACATTAGAAGTTTAGAGATATTTTTTAGAAAAATATTACTTTTGTTAGGGTAATAATACGAAGAGAATGAGTAATAAAAATGATAGGGAGGACAATGGGGGACCCAAAAGAGTTATGACGGGACCCAAGGCTGAGTGACGCACTATTGCTTTTTGAATTGGTCGTTTCTCAGGTATAGGTTGTGGTAGAATTTGCCCCCACGCCTCTAATCACACTCGCTTTGAACATGAATCCCGACGTAATTTAATCGATTGATATATTGCTTCGATAAAAATGTTAAAAGTTTGAATAATAAAAAAAACCCACAAACTATACTAATAAATTGTAAATTTGTTTTTTTTAAGGTCGATTGTTCAGATGTTTGTATCCGAGAATTGTGTGCTAAAAAAATTGAAATTACTCGAACCCATTTGATAGTTTTTTTTGTATTTTAAGGGAGGGATAGGTCGAATTTATTTATAATTAAGTGGAATATTGAATGAAAATAGAGATATTATAAATTAATTTCCTAATTTGTGTGTTGAGATGAATGTATATTGACATGGTTGGAAAAAGTGGGCTTCATATCAAAAGCTTTCATTGATTACACCCATGTGGATTGGGATAGGAACCAAAGTCGGCCTTAATATCTTAAAGCAAGAGAATTGGAAACAAAATGGCCCTAGCACATGTTCTTCTATTATCTTTTTCTTCGACTAAACCTTTCATTTTCATTTAGGTTCAAATTTAGTTATGTATTAATAGGTTCTTCAACTTTTAGTTTTGTGTTTACGCGATCTATCACCTGTTAAGCAACAAGTTTAAGAACCTATTACATGTAGAAGCGAAGGGACTTATTAGAGTTAAACGAACCCAACATTGATATCACCACTATCATCAAGAATTTGGCTTGAGCATTTAGGACGTCATCTTCGGAGGTGAAGGCTTGCGTCTAGGAGCCCACCACTAGTCGATATTGTTCGCTTTGATCCATTATGTATTGCTATTAGCCTCACGGTTTTAAAACGCGTCAACTATAGAGAGGTTTCCACACCCTTATAAGGGTGTTTCGTTTCCCCTCTCCAATCGATGTGGGATCTCACAATCAAACCCTCTTGGGGGCTTAGTGTCCTTGCTGGCACACTGGTGTCTAACTCTAATACCATTTGTAACCATCCAAACCCAGTGCTAGTAGATATTATTCGCTTTGGCTCATTACGTATCACCGTCAACCTCACGGTTTTAAAATTCATCTACTAAGGAGAAGTTTCTCCACTCTTATAAGGAATGTTTCGTTCTTCTCTCCATCCGATGTGGGATTCCACACAAACCCATCGACGTCCATAAGAGTAGTGAGAAGCTTTCTTGGACGAATCATACTAGGCTTTTCATGTGGAACACCGCTCCTTTCAAGCACTAGAATTCACTTAACTGAAGAATCAAAATAGCTTTGCTGTCAATGAATAACCGACGATTTTTAAACAACAAAAGAAATTGTTCGACTATAGATATTTTGAAAGTAAAAACGAGAGATTGAAGGTAGAATTAAGAAAGGGGTAATTGGGAAAAAGATTTCACATGAGATTTAGGGTCATGGACCCCTTTGGATAAAGTATGGTATTAAATGAGGAAATATGTCACCACTTATAGCTGGGTTCCATGCATTTTGATACCTCTTCTCTTAGTGGGTCCTCAATATTTTAATTTCCCAACATTCACCTCCTTCTCTTCATTTCAACTATTAATAAATTCCATTTTCCAAACTCTTAAACTTTTTGCATCTCATTCGAATGAGATTTAGAGATCTCAAATATTTTTTTGTTACGAAAAATGGATCTTTTTAGTATCGAGTAACGAAAATATAAGGGATCCTTTCGATATTGAGCGCACTACACTCGAGCTAGGTCACAACGACCCCTTCTTACTTTGAGTGAAAGAGAAGTCGACAAGGGAATGCAATCCTCAAAAACTTAACACCGACCATGGCATGCATTGTAAATATTGCTCAAAATGGTTACCTCAAATTATTGAGAGAGAGGTGACGGTGGGTGGAAATTGAAAAGATAAGAATATTTATTTATTTATTTCCAAAAGAAATAGAAGACGAAAATATTGTCTCATGAACCAAAATTGGGCACGTGCGGACCCGTCTTGAACGACGAATGGGGAATGAGGGAGGAAGTGGAGAACATTTTCCCCGTTAGATAAATGGGGTCGAGGACGGGATTATATTCCCGCCCTCGTCTCCACCCCACCCCATTCAACACACGTTAATCTTTTTAGCTATATTAAAAAATTAATTAATTTTGAGATTCTAACCGTAATATTTAAATTATATTGTAGATTTATTTTTTTAAATGGTTAAATTATAATTTAAGATGATAAAAAAAATGAAAGAAAATACTAATAAATTATAATTTAAGATGTATTGAAATTGGCAATTTAAAAATAAAAAAACTAAAATTAAATTAGATAAAAAAAAAATTAAAAAAGCGGAGGTCAAAAAAGAACAGCGTGGAGGGTTTAGATTTGCGGGCCCCACGAAATTTGTTCACTAGATTTCATCGCTCCTCCTTTTTTGACGGAGCCGAGAGTGACTTTCAAGAAAATGACTTTTTTAAAAAAAAATTAATTAATTAATTAATTTCATACCTTTTTATATATATTCTTTCAAAAATATTGATCTTAAACCATTTTTAATGTATCATTTTTGTTAAATGTATAAAATATCACAATAAATTTAATAATATTTCATTAAAAAAAACGATCAAAATATTGAATAAAATTTCTACAAATTAAAATTTTAATATTAGCGTATTCTACCCTTTTATATATACTAAATAATTTTAAAAAAATATATACGAATAAATTATAAATTATAATAATATGTAATAAACTAGCAAACAATATCTACTAGCAGTGAGTTATAGTTGTTAGATACCGTAGTTAAATAGATACTTGATATAATTTATAGTTATAAAAAGAAAAGGCAATAATTAAAGAAAAGTGATTTTCGAAAATTTCGAAGAATATTAAACATGAATCGTGAGAGGTTGGAGTTTGTTTTTTTGATGTTTTATTATTATTATTTTATACATTTAAAAATGTAATTATGATGTTTCAATTACAAACAAAAGGATTGAAACTCTCTACAAAGACAAAAAGTTGCATATTCAACATGTGAGAGAGAGAAACCTCTAATTCTCCGAAAAATAATAATAATATTTGTTTAGACTTAATAAATTTTTAAATCATACTCAATTTTAATATAATTCAATTAATTAACGTAAATATTGTGGATCAGTATGTAATACTAGAGTTGTCTACGAAGCGGGGTCCAATTTTTTCACTTATTTCAATCTACGTTCCTGCGAAATAAACATTTTAGTTCTACCTCTTAAATAAACGTCTCTATTTAATACTGTTTAGACAAAAGGAATGATTAAATGTTTTCTTGACGTGGACAGATAATTAATTTTGATTAATTAAGTGGTAATTTAGAGAGAGAAAGAGAGAGAGAGAGAGAGAGACATTAATGATGATAATTAGTGATTAAAAAGAGGGGGTTTGGCCATTACTCAAACATTCTCAAAACCATGCCATGCTGGAAAAAACATCAACAAAAAACATATCAATTACCCTTTGACTTGACTTTGACCTTTTTTTAATTAATTAATTAATTAAATCTTTTTTTTTCCCTTCAAAAACAAAAACAAAAACAAAAACAAAACAGTGTTGACATTTGCTTGATAATGTTTTGGGTGACAAGATAAAGTTTTATTAGAATTATTATTATTATGTTTTTTTTTTGGGTTTAATGTGAATTTTTTGCCCACCATTTTCTAATCATTTTTGTATCATGTTCCTAAATATCAGTGTAAAAAGAGGGCCTCACATCCCTAAAATTTTATAATTTTTTAAGAGAATTTATTAATAATTTTTAGTACAACGAGCGCTACCGAAGCAAAATGCTAAAATTTTTAGAAGTGAAGCACTACTCTAAGTTATCGGTGAGTAAATCAAGAGTGGGTATTTGACCGATTATACCGGAGAAATGTTTAATCTTAGTAGAGATCATCCTAATTTTGATGATGCACGATCAAGGGTGTTTTGAAGTTTAAAAACGAAAAAAATGGGTTTATTGGGAATTTAATTAGCTAGTGTTTTAGAAGTAATACTAAGTTCTTCTACTTCTCCCCTTCAAAATCTACAAATATCAATCCAAACTTACTCCTCGCATAAGTATGCAATTTTAGCAAGCTATCGTGCCACGCTTTATGCTAAAGATTCGGATATTCGGCACCTGAGTGTCCCAATATGATCATACTGTCCCCACTGACCAACCATTCTTGTAAGCCGTTCTTAACTATTCTATTATCAAAATCGCTCTCATTCAAATGTAATAACAGATGTCTCATTCAACATACGAGGGATTAACCTTTCGTAAACGAATGTATGACTTCTGGACAAAGTTTAGATAGAAAAATTAGTAACAAAGTTACTATGATTACGAGGATTATTATAATGTTTACACATGTTTTGATTTGAATTAATGATGGTTTAATTATTAATGATGTTTAGATAGTATATATGTTTGTTTTGAAGGGTTGAAATTAATAATAACAAATTAACCAAAACCTTAGTGTTTTAGATGGATTATTAAATTAAAAAGAATTGATTAATTAGGTAAACATGGAGAATATTTAAGGTCCAAGTAAGAATCTAATTAACAACTACTTAATGGAGGACCCACTTTGAAATACACATCATTAGGTCTCTTAAAGCATTGATTAATTATAACTTTTTTGCTAATCTTAGCTACTAATCTATTCATTTAAACCCAACTTTGGAGATTATTAATTAACTTTAATTTACACCGACCCCACTTTAATTATATATCCTCTCCTTTTCATTTTTAAGTATTTAAAGGTGAGATTCACGTTGGTGGGAAACAGTAGACGTATTTTAAAATCTTAAACGGAAATTTATCATTTAAAAAACAAAAAATACAATATAGGTTAGCGGTAGGCTTGAGAGGAAGCTCAAAGAAAACAAGTAGAGCTCAAAGAGGACAATATTTGCCTATCAGTTTCATCCCTAAATTTCTTTGTTTTGATATTATTTTCTACCAATAATGTTCGAGAAAATCTTAGCCAAGTTCTGAACACTACAACATGCGGTAGAAACATTTGAATTTCGAGTTGAATTCTAAAAAATATTATAATAAAAATATAGGAAAAGGCAGAAAACCGTGTTTATAAGCTTAATTTTAAAAAACTAAACATCGTGTTTAAGAATTCAAACGTTTGAACCGTCGAAATAAGAGGAAAAATTTTAAAAAGAAAATAATTATATTTAGCAATATTATATAAAAGATTTGGGTTATTGAGAATATGAAAAAAAAAAAAGTATCAAGGAGAGAGTGTAGGCCAGAAAGGAGAATATGTTTATTATTCATTATTGTTTTTTTTTTTCTTCCTCCTTTATTTTTTCTTTTGTGTAAAATATATATTTTTTATTCAAAGCTGAGTCATAAACTAGATTTTTTTTTATGTAAAAGAATACAAAATAAATATATTAAATTAAGGGATTCGGTCAATATTAGAAAGGTTAGAACCATATTTTTTTAGAAAAGAAAAATCAATTTAAAGTCTGGGATACATAATCTTTATACATCTAATAACACGTCTTTAAATATCGAGATTAGGGTAAATTAGAGAGTTAAATAAGTAGTAATGAGTTTTCTTAAATTTTAAAAAAATTCTTAGACCGTTTTTGAATTAATTTTAAATGAAATAAAGTAAAAATAGATTAATTTATAAAAGGTAGAGTTTAAATTGATTTAGTAATTAGTTTGGGTTTTAACTAATGATAAAAATGGGGCGAAGGAAAAAGGGAGCATAAGGCCCATTTGATGAAGCAGGCCAGGGATTGGGCTGAAACTAAAAGAAAAGAAATGGGCCTGGCCTCAATTTGGTTGGATTCAGTTCAACTATTTGCAGGCACTTTTCTTTTGTGGTGTTGGTAGCGTGAGCGTGCGCTAGCCCAACGAGCTAGAATTAGGAGGTACGTAAACGAAGCTACATGGTGGGTCAATGTGTGTGTGCATGGACTGTGTGTAAAGAATACTATACATCCAACTCCGTCTGAACTAGAAAATAGCCTAAGGTCATGCCATGATGTTTTTATAAAAGGATAGGTCCCCTTACCGCATGGGTTTGTAATTCTCGACCTCAACAGTGGAGTTATTTACTGAGTATTTCTTAAAATACTTCATTCTTTTGCTACTCTTATTTTTCACGTAAAGTGCACTTTTGTATGGATTACAACATCACAATCAAAACCACGAAATCAAAGTTCGAATAGTCATATTTATGTTTATTTGGTAGCCTTATAATAGATCAGGGCTTGATTTTATTTATTTAAATTTAAGTCGTTTATATTCGACTTCTTATTTTATGACAATATCATTTTAAAAGTTTTTTAAGTATGAAATTTTTTATCAAATATTGTAAATGAATGTTTTCAACCCTAATCATATCATACCTGCAGCGATGACCTTATTTTAAATTTTTTTATTATTTTCTTTTTTGGCATTATTTAAATTCAATTATATAACTTATTCGATAAAGTTAGATGGGTAGAGGTATTAATTAATCACGTTTCACTGTTATTAAATACTCATTTTTGTTATGAATGTATTTAAATTTATTTTAACATTGGTTTAATTATAAAGTAAAACAAAATAAAAAACACACGTCAAAACTAATTGCTTAATTTATTAGTTTACAAAATATAATTATCAATTAACTAAAAATAGTAAAATAATTAAATAATAAATGCATGATTCCAAACAAAAAATTCCTACAAAAACTTAATTTTTCTTTTTCTTCAATTATAATTCATAATAAATTTGAAAGAATTTTTAATTGAAAATTTGTAATTTCTTGTTGGTTGACTTAATTATTTATCTCCCAAACCCTAAAAATGGCGTATCATCCTTTCAATATGATACACTACAAACGAACCTAATGAGATTAAATCTCTCCTCGCTCTCTCTTCCGTTTCAGGTGAGTCCTATATAGACTTAATTTCACAAGTTAAATGAACATTCCCAATCTAATTTGTATTTCAATATAATTTTTTTTAAATGTTAAATGGGTCATTATAATTTTCTTATCCGACCATGTTTATGTTAGGATCGATACCAGTTGTTAGCTCTGATACCAATTGTTACGATTAGTCAACAACTCACACACTCGGATCAAAATGAACACAAAAAAATAGGAGAGAGAAAATAGAACTACAAATATTGGCTAAAGGTTTTATTATTACGGGAGGTTTCAATTTGCTTTCAAAAATTTAAACCTACAAATATATATTTATCAAATATTTACCAAATCTCTATCATATATATCTCTATCCTATGAAATAGTTTTCAAATTTATCTCTACAAGATCTAGGCATCAGGCTCCATTTCTCATTTCTCATTTAGGATTCTCTACTCATTAGAAGTGGGTCCTTGCATGGTCTAAATGAACGTCACTATTTATAACTTTTCATCTTACATTAGAAATTCTCATGCCATGGAAGATGAAGATTGAAATAGGAGGCCATCGGTGGTCACATTTAGTTAATTAGAACAAATCTCTCATTGCTCTCTATCCTATTGGATCCCGTAAATGGTCACATTTAGTTAATTAGAACAAATCTCTCATTGCTCTCTATCCTATTGGATCCCGTAAATTAAATCAACATTTCTAATGAACCGAAAATATTTGCTTCCAAACTATCCAAAATTTTGAATCTAAATCTTTTGATGTTAAATGGTATAAAGTAATTAGATAAAACACAACAGCAATAAAGAAAACAAAAGAATGATGTAGTTGATGAACAATTCAGAAAAACAAAAGAACAATCAAATATTGGAAGGACGAGAGAAGGGAGAAGGAATATCCTCAGCGTTCCTCCCAGGCTTAACCCATCTCCCAAACCTGTTCTTCACCAATCCCTTATGCGGCAACTGATACCAGAACTCCGGAATCCTCAGCTCTTCCACAAGCATATCGCTCCCTTTGTTCACCAACGCCACATCCCTCCTCGAATTCCACCTGAACTTCCCCCTCCTACTCACAAACCCATCCACCAAATGCAAATATATCTCCAAATTATGGCTCCCCGACATGTCCGACTCCTTCTTCAAGTACGGCGACATGTACATGTCCATTTTCAGCTGCGTCCCCACATGTCTGTACAGCCAATTCAGCTTCCCTGTCACTGCACTCAGCTTGTTCACAATCGAATTCACGAACAGCCCCGGAAGCTTGGGGACAATGTCCTGTCGTATCACTACGCGGAGTGTCTTCACACCCATCTCGTTTAATTTCTCCCTGAATGCTAAATTCCCCACTCTTGGCGCTCCGAATGATATTACGCTCACGTGGATGTCGGGAAATGATGCCCCTGCCTCGTAGGCTGTCAGAAGCGACAGCGCGCCGCCTAGGCTGTGTCCGACAATTGTTAGGCTGATTTCTCTGTCGCCCTTTTGTGTGAAGAAATCGATTAGTCTATGTAGCTCCTCCATTACCTGCTCTGACGCGCTGGTTTTGTTGAATTTTGATTCCTCGTCTTTCGATTTGTAAATTGTTAAGAACCCACGTTGGACTTTGATTTTCCTGTCGCTCCGGTCGATTTTTTTCAGCTTGGTTTTCAGATCGATGTACCATTCCGTTGGGGTTACGGTTCCTCTCCAGGCCACGAGGATATCCCGCCGCCCGATTCTCTCGCTCTCCTCGTCGTTACTAACGGCTACAAACCCCATCCAATTCGAATCTCTGCTCCACACCTCGCCGATTTTGGAACTCTCGAACCAATCCGGACCGTCAACAGGGGACAATGCGTAGATGTATTTAGTCACTTTGTAGCCGTTTTGAGCCAGACCCAATTCGTGGAGGAGCTTATGGCGGTTGTATCTACAGCTGCCGCGGAATTCAGAAAGTGGGTCGAAGTCAAAAGCGTCGTAGGTGGCTTGAGCGAACTCGCCGTATTTAACAAGCTCGCGGCGGAGGAAGGGGTGGAGGGGATCTAGGAGACCTTCCCAATTAGAACCGCCGTGGAGGTCACGCCATACATCGGCGATTTTATCACGAGGGGAGAATGTTGGGGTCATGTGGTTGCCGTAGTCGACGAAGTCAGCGGCGCGTTGTGGCATACGGAGGAGCGAGGCGAGTGGCTTTGCCAAACGGAGGTCGTTTTTCTTAGAGGTTGATTTCGATGGCTGAATTACAAGCGGCGACACTGCACCGTTGACGGGAGTTAGTTGGCCGGTGGCGGTGGCACATGTCAAACGGCGGCGCTGGTTGTGTAAGGAAGAAGACAGAGCATTTTTTATGGCTCTTAATCGGATCCCCCATTTCAATTTCCAATACCATTTCGTCTTCTTCGTTCCGTTTCTTAACATCGTTACTCTTTTCAGTGGGACTCCTCTCGGCGTCACGATTCTCCCCTCCATGGCTAAGCTCAAGCTTTCTGTTTGGTTCCCGAGAAAAAATGCAGAGAAAATGAGATAGAAAATGGATAATTTTCTTTTTCTTTGGGGTGAAATGAATTGATTTCTTCAGAATTTATAGGAGATGAACCCCATACGGACGGGTTAGGGATGACGTGGTCAAGTCAACGAGGAGAAGGGAGGGTATTGGAGGCTAGTAAAACGGTCAAAGAAACTGTAGTTAGACGTGGCGAGTTCTTATTGGTGGGTTATAGAAGGGCGTTCATGTCATTTTATGTGTAATAAATACATGAGGTCAATTTGCAAATATAATAATATTAGATGTAGATGGGGCCTAAATTTTGGGAAGAAATTCAAAGCCGCCGGGTAAGAATTCAGTAATTTTGAAATTTATTCAATTTATTTAATTTATTTTTTTGGACGTGGTTGGCTGGCTGGTAATAATTAATTAATATCACTTGGAGACCAATGGTCCGAGAGATTAGGTCCTATGAAGTTTCCAAGAACTCGGGGTTTTCGAGTAAATTTTGACAAGATTCTAATGTGTTGATTGAGTTTTTTGAATCATCGAAATTTTTTAACTCCCCCAACTTTGAATATGGTACAACCTTGTCTTTGACCTCGGAGAGTGGCTAGCCGTGTAGAGGATTATTGGGAGTGAGTCCTATATTAGTTAATTTAGTGCAAAATCATAGATTTATAAGTGAAATACTATCTCCATTGGTATGAGGCATTTTAGGAAGTTCAAAACAAAACCACGAGAGTTTATGTTCAAAGTGGACAATATCGTACCATTATGAAGAGTCGTGATTCTTAATAAGGAGTACAAGCCCTTAATCTTGAATAAAAATTTGTAATTATCCACCCAACCATATAATATATAGTGAATATAAATGATGCATGAAAATATAATTATATTTTAAGCGTAATAGAGACAAATTTATTTTGGTGAAATAATAATTAATGGGTGATTTAAAAATTATATTTGGGCCTATCTTATATTATAATTAATAAAGATGCAAAATGTACTTGCTCCATATATTTAGTAAGTACAATTATTGTAAAGCCACCATTTTCGTGTTACGGTTTGACTAAAATATATATTTATAGATATACCAAATTATTCTTCCTTTCATCCTCATCTAATCCAATATTTATTTTATATTTCCACAAAAATTAAATTCTTATATTTGTACTATTTTTTTCTTCCATTTAATTTTAAAATATATATTTATAGATATACCAAAAATTCTTATATTTGCACAAAAATTAAACTCCTTAATGTTGGATGCTCGAGGGAAATTACCTTATCTAACCAAGATTAAGTGATATAGAATCAACTCAAGGAAAAGTATGAAACAAATTACTTTGATGATCGAGATCAAGAGTAAAGAAAATTCGTTTCTAAACTCGTGATTCGAATCACTTTACAAGAGGTTTGATCAATACAACTTGAATGACTTTAGCATGCAAGTTCTACACACAAGAATTTGCAAATAAAATCTTAGCTTTCAACAAAGCTAAAAAAAAATAGAAATTCTATTCTTTTTTAATTCCAAAATGTGATGTCTCTACTCAAGGAAAGGAAGCTTTATACAGCTTTTACAACCTTAACCTATGTGACACATAACTCTCAAATTAAATTCGTTAGTAAATGAGAATTACCCATGACCTCCATATTAAAATGTCTAGTTAAGGGTGGAATATGTAACCTAAGTGGGTTACAATATAACTCCTATATTAAAAAATAGCTTAAATTATGACAAATAAATATTTAAATTATAATTAAATAGTACAAGGAATGAAATGGGTTTATTAGTCATTCTTGGACTAGTTCCATAAATTTAGCTGAATTCATTAAATGCAATTTAAAGTGCATTAAATGCATCTCTTTGAAGCTCAACTTTGCAAAACATATAACGGAGGTCTCCAACGTCTTTTAGAAATTCTTTTGATGAGCTCACCATAGCTTGAATATAAGTGTACAAGGTTTGTTGTAGCTTCTTGACTCTCGTCCTTGTAATTGGACCTTGAGGTATGAAAATTTCTTGATCGTGGTTCATATCATTAAAACTTATAAAGTTAGACAACCGAAAAAATTCTCTAGAACAGAGAGTCAACTACGGCCACGTTTCAATAAATTATTTTAAAGGATTTTCGTCACATATTAGATATGTCATGCATGAAGTGATAAACTTAATTTTTTTTTTTTATTATTAGGAAGGAAAATGATTTTTCTCTATAACTTTCTAGCCGTCTTGAACCGTTTTTAACATATATGTAATAACGACTTAATCGGGTCATAATATATTAATTTAATTATATATTTTTTTCTTTTGTTTCTAAGTAATTGTCGTTATAATGTTGATTGATGCATCATAAACTTTGTGTAATGCTAGTTACATATATAATAATTATAGTACTCCAAGCTCTCAATAATGTCTCAGCATACTTTTCAATAAAAAATAAAATAAAATAAAATAAAATCTGAAAATAATAAATTTTCTCCGACAAGTCTATTATTTGCAATTAAATGTGTTTTTAAAATAGATAAAACGACAAAAAAAATGCATTGTAAAAATATCTGAATGGTCCAAAACCAGTCCATTCCAGATAACATATCTTAATTTTTACATTTTTTATTCCCAACTTTAAATAATTTACTAAAAAAAAACATTGAATAATTGGAATATATATTATGTTTCTCTTATTTTCTACTAACGGATTATTTCAAAGTTTAAATGGTCTTTTCCCGTATATATTATTTTAACCAGTCTTCAAATTTGAGAATCTAATCTATGGTAAAAATGATAATATTAATCTAAGTGTAAATGGTAATCTAATAAAGTAAAAATAACTTAGCGGTAAAATTACCAACTTTCTTAAAATGAGGAGTTAAATTAATAAAATATTTTAAAATTTTGCACACTATTTTAAAAATACCAACTAACTTTTAAAAATTGAATAAGAAAAAATATAAAAAAAATGAAAATAGCTAATAATTTGTTTAAAAAATACTCTTTTAAGTTTTAAAGAGGGTTTAAAATTTTCCCTTTTAATTTCCAAAATTATTTCAAAACTAAATTTGATTTACTTAAAAAAAATTCATAATTTTTATAAGTTTTAAAAAAATTCAAAAACACTTTTAATATTTTTTTTTTAAAATTGCCACATTACTTATGAACTAACTTTGAAAAGTAATATTACAAACTTTATGGATGGTTGACATATAGTTTCTGTCCATATATTGACAGATCGACAGAAATAACATTTTTGAACAATTTAATGGATATTTTTTAAAAACATAATAATATTGGTAATTATATTTTTAAACTGTATAATAATAAAAACATTAATGATATTAATAAAAAAAAAAACTTAATGTTCGAAAGTATTTTTGAAGTACTATTGTAAGTTCAAGAATTGTTTTTTTAGAGCAAAGTACCAACTATTTCTATTTAAAATTAACGGTAGCATTGAAATTTTTGGAAGATTAAAAATTATATTTTTAATTAAAAAATAAAATTTAAAAATATTTTTATTAATTAAGGGATAGCTCGTTTGAGTTGTGTATATGTATAAATAAATTAGGCATATAGAAAACAAAATGGAAGAAAAAGTTGACCGACAACGCGATTAGGAAGAAGTCAACATTTACTTTCTTGTCTGCAAAGCTAAGAAAAAATTTGATTGGTCGTAGTCCAAACAAAAATCAAAAGTCAATTTTGAAGCATTTTCCTTGTTCTTTCGTTGATGGCAAAGTTAAACAACTTGGATTCATCAAATTCTCCAAATCCCTTTCATATAAAAACATCTTGCCGAGTAGCTTTTTAGTTTGGGTAAGGTTGAATGTGTAGTACTTTCTTTCACATGGTCCATGCATGGAAGTATGGGCTCACTCGGCGAGCTTGCACACCTTTTGAACCTGGCTCTTCGGGCTAGCACTTGCTAATGGGCTGTGCTGAACACCCAGGAAAAAGACCCGCATAACATCATGATGAACATAAAATGTTGTAAATCATAAGTCGTAATTTACACATTCGTACTTATCACAATGGGAAGTATCTCGATATACATAACACACAAATATGCATGAGATCTCCAAAACTTATAAGCATAGCATAAATTATGATGCAAGAAAAAGCTTCATTCATCTATGACATATTAAATCTGCGAATTATGCATACACAATTTGAAAGTTGTCATGACATGGGAGAGCTTAAGTAGAGGGAGGGTAGTTTTTCATTACCGAGTTCTCCGGCAACCCTAAAAAAAAAGAAAAATTGGGTATCGTGGAGAGTCGATTTTTGAATTTTTTTTTTTCTATTGTTATATCATACACATCTAAAAAACTTTCATCCTCGAAAGTGTCAATAGCTTAGAGTACTTCTCCTTCATTTCATCATCTCGCTCCCGTGTTTCTTTTGTTCGGTGGTTTTGCCGCAGTATCTTGACAAAAGCGATGTCTTTGGTGCATAAAGGTTTCACTTCATGAGTCAAAATCCTTATAATTTGTACGCAATTGGTCGAATCCAACCACACAATATAAAAAGTTTAAAATGTTTTTTTTCAAAAAGAAGAGTTCTCATGTGTTTTTCTTATGCATTGTATTGGTTAGTAAGAATATAAAATTGTTTTTTTTTTTTTCTTTTTGCTAGGGCTCGCATCTCGATGCTACATTGTTGGTAACAACGACTATTACAACGGTGTGATATTGTCCATTTTGAGCATGAGTTCTTATGACTGTGCTTTTAGCTTTTCCAAAAAGCCTTATACGAACGAAGATATTATCTCTTACTTATTCACCAATATATATTTTTTTTGATTAACCAATATAGGACTCCGACAATCCTTAGCATACATGACCATCAACAATCACCCCCTCTCCCATCCTCCACCAACGCCTCAAAGTACAAAACCACCTCCAACGCCTTCGACTTCGACTTCTTCTCCCAATTCATCATCCATTTGAATAAATTTATATTTTTTTTCATAGATTAAGCCAGATAGATATTGACAGTTCAAAAGTACAATCGTTTGGTTAAACTTCATCAATTATGTGTCAATAAATTTTTAAAAATTTTAAT